CGTAAAACTTCACAATCCCCCATTTAGGACGCCACAGACCAGCCAGATGCCCAATGCAGACGTTTACCATACTCGTAACATTGCTGGCGCAAGGGTTCAGTTGAGAGGGTGATCAGAGGGATAAAAAAATTTCACGTCTTTGACTGTGCCCTCCCTCTCAACATGATCGACCTGGCTGACGAGATGTTCATAACGTGTGCCTTGTGCAACTTCGGAGGGTCACTGATTAAGGAGGGGGAGGAGGAGAACGACCCCAGTGCATGAGTGACAAAACAAAGTGTATGATTTAGAGTTGTCCCTAAAAATGACTAATGTATGCTGTAGAGCAGGGGTGGCCCGGCTGACCCGGCCTAAGAGCCGGAAACGAAACTACAAAGCTTCCAAGAGGGGAAGGGGGCGGGGTAAACTTTGGTCCAGAGCAGTAAACAGAGCTATAACTACTTTCAATCTATCCGAGTCAAAAGCAGTCCAACTGTATGTAAGGTAGCAGTAGCACAAGACAACCAAACCGTAACCTGCCTGTCGATTTCAAACGCGTTCCATTTCTGTTTTTGGGGAAGTGCTCGTGTGACTGGGAGGGAGGCAGGGGAGTGTGTGTGTGTGTGTCTGTGGGGGGGGTAGTAGGGGCGGGAGCCGCGAGCAGCACTTTAATACGCGAAGAGTCGCATGGCTCGTGAGCCACAGCTTGGCCACCCCTGCTGTAGAGCTGTTGTATGAATCACATATTTAATTGCCAATTTAATTATACATCCAAGCTATTTTCGGAAATTACACATCACATGACCAACATATCAAATATCAATGCTTGTAGTAAATGCACACCATAACCTTGCTTTATGCACATCGGGATGCTATTGTTTAGAAGTACAATTTTGAAACAATTGATCTATCAATACAAATGTGTGAGCCTTTATTTACATTTGTCATACTGACTGTAGTTAGCATAAGCATGTGTTTGTCTTTTTTTCTTTTCTCTTAAAATCGAAATGTCATCAAAATTTCAGTTTGATGGAATGCACATTTTTGGGACTAACATAAGGGGTATTTTCTGGTGCCCGTTAATAACTGTTTTAAGTAAAATATAAAGAGAGTGATGATGTCGACTTCGTGCTCAGAGTGGTCTATTATACACTCCATGAAAGAATGTGTTAACAACAAGAACAAAAGTTAATGCCATGGTTTTTGTAGAGGAATTTCACGACTGAATTTTTGCAATGGTGAGTTTCAGTGGGTCATCATGGCTGCGGGGGAAATAAAAACCTTCGACGCGCATCTTGTGCTGTACATGTCCGGGTTCAGTTGTGTGTAACTTACCAAGACGGCGAATCCGTCGTGTGACCATCTCTGGAATCACCGCATACTCGTAGAAGTACAATAGTCCAGGCAGGACATTGCAGTCCCAAAAGGTTCTGTTAAAAGCGATCCTCTCTACACTGACAGAGTCAACCACAGATCCATTATTCGTCCAAATGACGAAGTTGGCCCACGGAAATCCAGCGACAGCAAACTGCCATTGCTCTTGGTAATAATGAGCGCTATCCCGCTTCAGCGTCACTTCACCTTCAAGAATGTATGCATAAAACTTTTTGTCCAGCGCAGCAGCCTTTGGTGTTTGCCCCTTCTTAGAATGGGGGCATTTCACCTCTAACACTCGAACTTCTTCACCGTCATACAAAATCCGATCTGCATAATGATGCTCCAATACACGGGTACTCGTGGTAGACATGCAGTCCGGTCTCTTCCACGCGCACCTTCTTGCCGTGGTATGTCATTAGCTCCAGGTACTGCTCGACAGCCTTGCCTTCGTTTTCTATGCCATAAAGGCGTGGATCCCCCGGCTTAAGTTTTACATTTTGTGGATACAAGATATCCCGAACCAGACTTTCTGGTTGCTGGCAGTGAACCACGCATCTGAAGTTCGATGCCGTGTTCTGGCCCACCCGTTCTCTTTTCCACGAAGGGTTTCTTCCCTGTTCAACAGTGGCGCTGCAGATGGCACTTGCTTTTGTGAGCTCCAGAGGACGAATGGCTTCCATTTGAGCCCTGAAGAGTTGACGACACTGGAGGTCCTCGTCGTTCAGAATAGGGCACAGGAACCGGGGTGGCTCGGGCTGACCAACATACCTGCACCAGAGGAGGCCAGGCTCCTTGCTTTTTATGGCGTCAACATAGTGCTTCACATCGTCCAGACATTCGCCCGAAGGAGCTGATACCAACAGCAACTGGCGCTTCACCTTCACTCCTTTCTTCTTGTGGACAACATGCTTCTAGAACGCGATGTCCTTCAACGGAGCTGGGCAGGCTCGTTTGGCATCTGCATATAAAGTAGTTTCACACTTTCAAGGTCTGAAATACCTTTAATTTTTTTGTTTGCCGAAAAAAATCAGAACTTGTGATGGCTTGGCAATATTCAGCATTAACAATATGCTCCTGTTGTAGGTGGTAATAAAATATTATTATTATAATATTAAGAGTGAGCTCTGTTGCCAAATTCATGGGAAATTTAAAATAAACATGGTTCCAAGAGACAAGAGGAAACTAAATTTTAATATTTGTAAAATAAAATCTTGCATATTTAACATGCCTTTGAAATAATTTTTTATTTGTCTTTTGCAGAGTATGTAAGTCACATATAGTTATCACTGTGTTAGTGTTAAGAAAAAAACATTTAATCAGAAAGCGTTACAAATCGTTCCGTATCGTCAGTGCTCGTGCGTCCTATGCCCTTCGTCCTTTTTCTTTTTCCACTCGTGCTCGTGTCTCGGCCACTTTTCTTTCTTTTCTTTTCTTACTCGCACAGCTAACAAGCTCCACTTTAAAGTTTGAATCGTCCTCAATTCAAGTCTTTACGTCAATTCAATTTGTCATATAGTCTCGGAGGTATGCTGGAGGCCTTCGTTCCCTTGGCTGTTGATGTTGCATTTTGAGCTGCTGCGTCCAATTCATCTCCGCTGTGCTCTGAACCAGCTGGCTCTTCAACGCCTTCGGGAGATCCCTCTGTTTCCACTTGGTTTGCTAGCGCCTGTCCTATTATAGAGTCTGATAGCTCGACTGGCTCGATATCTCTTGCGACGAATCTCTGTAGCTGTTGTAAATTTGCTAGTCTCGAGTTGGATCTGCCCTCTTAAAATCGAAATGTCATCAAAATTTCAGTTTGATGGAATGCACATTTTTGGGACTAACATAAGGGGTAATTTCTGGTGCCCGTTAATAACTGTTTTAAGTAAAATATAAAGAGAGTGATGATGTCGACTTCGTGCTCAGAGTGGTCTATTATACACTCCATGAAATAATGTGTTAACAACAAGAACAAAAGTTAATGCCATGGTTTTTGTAGAGGAATTTCACGACTGAATTTTTGCAATGGTGAGTTTCAGTGGGTCATCATGGCTGCGGGGGAAATAAAAACCTTCGACGCGCATCTTGTGCTGTACATGTCCGGGTTCAGTTGTGTGTAACTTACCAAGACGGCGAATCCGTCGTGTGACCATCTCTGGAATCACCGCATACTCGTAGAAGTACAATAGTCCAGGCAGGACATTGCAGTCCCAAAAGGTTCTGTTAAAAGCGATCCTCTCTACACTGACAGAGTCAACCACAGATCCATTATTCGTCCAAATGACGAAGTTGGCCCACGGAAATCCAGCGACAGCAAACTGCCATTGCTCTTGGTAATAATGAGCGCTATCCCGCTTCAGCGTCACTTCACCTTCAAGAATGTATGCATAAAACTTTTTGTCCAGCGCAGCAGCCTTTGGTGTTTGCCCCTTCTTAGAATGGGGGCATTTCACCTCTAACACTCGAACTTCTTCACCGTCATACAAAATCCGATCTGCATAATGATGCTCCAATACACGGGTACTCGTGGTAGACATGCAGTCCGGTCTCTTCCACGCGCACCTTCTTGCCGTGGTATGTCATTAGCTCCAGGTACTGCTCGACAGCCTTGCCTTCGTTTTCTATGCCATAAAGGCGTGGATCCCCCGGCTTAAGTTTTACATTTTGTGGATACAAGATATCCCGAACCAGACTTTCTGGTTGCTGGCAGTGAACCACGCATCTGAAGTTCGATGCCGTGTTCTGGCCCACCCGTTCTCTTTTCCACGAAGGGTTTCTTCCCTGTTCAACAGTGGCGCTGCAGATGGCACTTGCTTTTGTGAGCTCCAGAGGACGAATGGCTTCCATTTGAGCCCTGAAGAGTTGACGACACTGGAGGTCCTCGTCGTTCAGAATAGGGCACAGGAACCGGGGTGGCTCGGGCTGACCAACATACCTGCACCAGAGGAGGCCAGGCTCCTTGCTTTTTATGGCGTCAACATAGTGCTTCACATCGTCCAGACATTCGCCCGAAGGAGCTGATACCAACAGCAACTGGCGCTTCACCTTCACTCCTTTCTTCTTGTGGACAACATGCTTCTAGAACGCGATGTCCTTCAACGGAGCTGGGCAGGCTCATTTGGCATCTGCATATAAAGTAGTTTCACACTTTCAAGGTCTGAAATACCTTTAATTTTTTTGTTTGCCGAAAAAAATCAGAACTTGTGATGGCTTGGCAATATTCAGCATTAACAATATGCTCCTGTTGTAGGTGGTAATAAAATATTATTATTATAATATTAAGAGTGAGCTCTGTTGCCAAATTCATGGGAAATTTAAAATAAACATGGTTCCAAGAGACAAGAGGAAACTAAATTTTAATATTTGTAAAATAAAATCTTGCATATTTAACATGCCTTTGAAATAATATTTTATTTGTCTTTTGCAGAGTATGTAAGTCACATATAGTTATCACTGTGTTAGTGTTAAGAAAAAAACATTTAATCAGAAAGCGTTACAAATCGTTCCGTATCGTCAGTGCTCGTGCGTCCTATGCCCTTCGTCCTTTTTCTTTTTCCACTCGTGCTCGTGTCTCGGCCACTTTTCTTTCTTTTCTTTTCTTACTCGCACAGCTAACAAGCTCCACTTTAAAGTTTGAATTGTCCTCAATTCAAGTCTTTACGTCAATTCAATTTGTCATATAGTCTCGGAGGTATGCTGGAGGCCTTCGTTCCCTTGGCTGTTGATGTTGCATTTTGAGCTGCTGCGTCCAATTCATCTCCGCTGTGCTCTGAACCAGCTGGCTCTTCAACGCCTTCGGGAGATCCCTCTGTTTCCACTTGGTTTGCTAGCGCCTGTCCTATTATAGAGTCTGATAGCTCGACTGGCTCGATATCTCTTGCGACGAATCTCTGTAGCTGTTGTAAATTTGCTAGTCTCGAGTTGGATCTGCCCTCTATGGGGACGGCTCTTTTCAGCAACACAGTACTGCTGTCTTTGAATTCTGTGATTTCGTACGGTCCTTCAAATAGAGAGTCCAGGCTTCTACACCGAGATCCTTTGATACAGTATACGAAGTCACAGACGTTAAAACAAGGTGTCTTCATGTCGGCTTCGTACCGGGCTTTCGCCAGCGTCTGGCTATTTTCCAAATTTTGCTTTGCAGCGCATCGACTCCTGGCAAGGTTCAGCAATCTTTCAGTTTCTGTGATGCCATCATCATAGCTTCCAATGTTTAGTTCGCCTGGAAGTTTTGGATCATACCCGTTCATTAGCCAGAAAGGGCTGTATCGCGTTGAGCTCTGTCTCGTGACGTTAACGGCGGTTACTGCATCTTGCAATGCGATATGCCAGTCGAGACGATTGTTTGTTCCTACCATTCTTTCGATAAGACCGTTGGCTTCCGGCCAATATGGTGGAGATGTGGTGTGTGTCACACCAAGACGTCGATGAATTCTTTTCGTGTTTCGGTTCACAAATCCTCTTGCTTGGTCTGTGATGATTATTTCCGGTACCCCGAACCTGGGGATCCATCTCTTCGTCAGTAAGTTGATGTAGTCGATGGAAGCCGTGCTGGGGACAGCTGATGCATCGACGTAGCGTGTAGCGTGGTCAATGCATACCAAAACGTGGGTATTTCCTTTCTCCACCATTGGTCCGAAATGATCAAGCGATACCTAGTGAAAAATACAACAGCTCGAGGGCTGGTGTGACTTGATGTTACACCATACTTTTTCACAGATGTGATTTGGGACATTTTCTGGTGTGACACCAGAAATCTGATGTGTGGGTATGACACCAGAAATCTGGTGTTCTGGCGGGACATCAGGTTTTGTTGTAATGTGATACCAGACCACCTGTTGACTGGGTGTTGCTTTACTCACAAAAAAAGGGTACAATGATAGGTTTGACAACAACGCTGCTGCCATAATTACTTTATTCAAAAAAGCAAAAAAGCACAACAGTAAAGCTTCGGAAGCTTTACTGTTGTAGGGAGTAGAGTTGGCCGTGATCAACTGGAGTTTGTCCGGAGCCACTGCCCTGCGTCGAAGAACCGGACGTCCTGTCGTTCCGCAATTCTTGGCCTTTCAGCTTGTGGTTGACTCATGTCTTAGTTACGCTGATCCGTTCCGCGTACCCCACCGCACTAGAAATTCCCTCTTCTAAGGCATCATATTCGACATATAGCTCGATTTCCTTGTCCAGCTCTTTCAGGGAAGCCTCCTTAAGTAGAAGAATATCAAATGTTTCTTCGAGCTCACCGATGTCGTTTGGATCCGTGGCCAGCAGACACCAATCTCGTTGATGATCTTTGTTGTGGCGGCTCGCAGGGTAAATTCCTCTTTCGCTTCAGGCGGTCGACGCCCTCCTCGCTCGTAGTAGGCATTTCGGCCATCAAAAACTGTAATAATTACTAGCGTCCTTTGTTGCTTTGCTACCGAGCCAAGCTCGTCGGAAGTAAGGAAAGCGCACCAGCACATCTTTTCGGCTTTGACTCACAGAGAAGACTTCTTTACTTTCTCAAACTTAAACAAGAATACCGGCGGGAAAGGGAAAGAGAAACCCTCCAAGTGGCGAGCCGGCGAGCGCCCCAAGCTGCTCAAGGCGGCTCGGGAAAGTGCTCGGAACGAGGGGGACACTTCTTGAGTACAAAGGAGCCCGCCGCGGGGTCTCCGGCGACCACCAAGACGGGAGGGAACAAGGCACCCCGTCGGGGGACGGAGCGGCACACAAACTAATAGAAAACGCGCGCGGACGGGGGAAAAGTCAACAAAAACACAACTCTGGTGTCACATCAAACTGCGTGGTGTGCACACCAGGCTGCCTGGTCGGCGCATAAGTCCTTGTGGTGTGACACCAGACTCTCTTGGTGTACCCATCAGGCTGATGTGCGGGTACACCAGCATTTCTGGTGGGCACACCAGGTTGGTGTGCTCTATACATCAGCATCGCTGGTGGGCACACCGGATATTCTTGTGTCACACCAGGATTCTCTGATGTCACACCAGGATTGCCTGGTGTATTTTTCATGAGGGAGATCACTTTGTTTGGTTCGCCAGGAATGTCTCTTGTGTTAAGGTATCCTTCCTTGGCAGTTGTGCGGCGATTTATTTGCCTACCTATGTCACACGATCGAACGTACCGGGCGATGTCCTTGGTCACGGACGGCCACCAGTAGCGCTTCGAAACCTGATCTAACGTTTTTCTTGTGTCCATATGTCCGACCTTATCATGGCACGTAGACATTACAATGTCGCGCAACGCGAGAGGTACCACGATTCGCGTGATTTGTCGTCTACTGCTGATCAGTTTTCGTACAAGGATCGCGTTGTCAGTTTCGAAGAGACTGTTCTCCTTGTTTTGTAGTAGTTTAAGTCGTTGGCATTCCGGATCAGACGTCTGGAAACTCCTGAGGCGGGAGTCCTGACTCAGCACAATTAGGGATGTCGCGAACCACCCTAGGTTCGATTTCGAAAGGTTTCGATATTTGCGAAGCAAACTAAGGTTCGATTTCGAAAAATTTCGAAATTTTCGTACCGACCGAGGTTCGATTTCGAAAAATTCGCAACTTTTGACCACAGCGGAGTTTCGAATTCGAAAATTTCGAAGCTTTCACGGTTTCTAAAATTTCGAATTCGAATATTTCGAATATTTTTTTACTTCAGGTTCGATAAATTCGAATATTTCAAAATTCTTTGGAAAAAAAATTCGAAAACTTCGAACGCTTCGAATTTTTATAGACATGCAGTTCGAACAATTCGAAGATTTCGAATTTCTTTCTGCATAAAGTTCGAAAAGGTCGAAGGTTTCGATTCCCTTTTAACGCTAAATTAAAAAAAAAAAAAAAACCTCGATGATTTTCAATTTTTTTCTAATCCAAATTTTCAAAGTTCGAAGTCCAATTTTCAAGTTTTTTTGACAGTTTCAGTTTCAAATAACGTTTTCACGACTCACTGGTTTTCACAAAATCAAGTTTAGAAAAGTTAGGGTGTGATATCTAGATTCTGCGAAGTTGGTCGGGCAATTAAATGAGAAGACGAGTGTCCCGGACGTGCTAGAATATTTGCCAGTGCAGAATTGTGACCGCCAGCCCCGGGGGGGGGGGGGGGGTGGTCTTTAACCTGCATCACGCAGTAGTGATTGCACGAACACACTGTTTTACCAGACTCATCCAGTTCGAAACGGCCAGGGGCGAGCAGGAGGTTGAGGTTCAGAAAAACCTTGAAGCCACCTGGCAAACTAGCTCGCCACCCCTTGCACGCTGGTAGTAATCCGATCCGGTAAAGTTTATAATGGTCCTGGAGGTTTATATTCTGGGACGGAGGAATCGCCTCGCAAAAAGCACAAAAGCCGGCACAACTCGAGGTCGAGGAGCGTTCTACCATACAAGTGGCGTCGGAAAACGAAAAACGGGGGGAAAGAGGGTAGCGGGGGGGGGGGGGGGGGGCTTCAGCCTCCTTCTTTTCCTTGCAGGTATTTCGGACTGTTAAAAAAAACAATACGGGGAAAGAGGGCGTGGTCGAGGTTATTTTAATCTGAAATTATTTGTGCATATGTATTGCTACTGTCGCTCTTCACTACATAAAAGGTTGCGTAGATGGTCATTGTTAGAAACTCGTTGTCAGAAGGCGCTGCTCGTCACATGCTTAGTGGTTCGGAAGTTCAATGCTGTCTTTTCGACCTAAACACCTGTGCCGATAGTAAAAAAAATGAAAAAAAAAAGAATAAATGCGAGAATAAAAAGCAGGAGAAAAAAAAACTATCAAGAATTCGTCGGAAGTGTTCTATTCTTGCATATTCAGAGGTTCAGAACTTCGAAACAAGTTTCTTTTACCAAAATGTGTATTGGAGAAACACGTCCCAGGAACGTGAAGCGAAAAAAATTTTTTTTCCTTTAATGACGTGCTCAACTTGAACACTATTAGAAATCTTTTCCCATGAGTGAATTTATTCCTTAACGTGAAAAAACAATATATATATTATTTTGTATTCTGCAGATGGCAATGATATGTACTGTCTGTGGTGTTAATTTAAATGCGATACCTCAAACAACTTAGACGAAAATAAATATCAAGTTTAGGTCATAATTGCATGCAGATACATGTCTGGACATTTCTTCGAAACTCACGTTGAATAACAATAATCACATCTTAAGACGGCACTTACCTAGGCTATACATAGATCATTCATAAAAAGTATAACATATCTACCATAAATAGCTCCGGCTGCAGCGTGCTTCAAATCTGGCACAAACGATAATCGTCAAAAACCCGTCGTCCTTCCTCGCCCCTTCGGGGATTTATTTCTTTAGACCTAAGCATGCCAGAACATTGAAATAAACGACATTGTCTTTCGTAAGGAACGCAGCACCGCGTGTAAAAATTCGAGAAAAAAAAAATTACGAATGTACCCCACTACTTGAAATCAAATGAAACCGTCCGCCGGTCTTTCGAAGTTCGACGAACGTCGAACTTTTACCCTTAAAGGTCGAAGTTCGTCGAACTTCTGACTTTTCAGAAATCGAAAGTTCGAAACTTTTCGAATTCTCTTGATAAGTAAGTTCGAAAATTCGATATTCATCGAATTTTTTGGTCAGTCAAGTTCGAAAGTTCGACAAGCATCGAACCTTGCAGCGCAATAAGTTCGAAAGTTCGAAAAAGATCGAATTTTTTAGTGTAATAAGTTCGACGGTTCGAAAAGCGTCGAACTTCTTAGCTTAACAAGTTCGAAAATTCGACCTCCGTCGAATTTTACGATATAAACAATTGGAAAAATCGAAATCTTTCGAACCTTTCGAACCACTTGATTCGATCATTGACACTTCGATTCGAAAAAAGTTCGCGGCATCCCTAAGCACAATCGCCAGGCACTTGAGTGTGCATCCAGCCGCCTCGTTGTTGATGAGGCCTTCCAGGTCTCTGTCCGGCATGTCAAGTCGTGACATCGCGTCTGCTGCTCCGTTGAGTTTTCCAGATCGGTGTACAAGATCGAATTCGTAGTCCGCTATATTGAGTGTCCACCTGGCAAATCTGCGGTTGATTGGACCTTGTTCTACGAGGTACGTAAGGCTCATGTTGTATGCGACAACCGTGAATCGAGGTCTTCCACGAACAAAAATGGCGAATTTTTCGGTGACGGCCCAGTGGAGAGCCGTACATTCGAGAGTGTTTGAATGGAGCTTCGAGTCGTGCTCATTGAGACTGCGGCTTGCATACTCAATTACTCGTTCTCTCTCTTCTTGAACTTGGACGAGTACCGCTCCCAGACCAGCTTGACGGGCGTCGATATAAATTATTGTTGGGCATCCGTACCTGAAGTTTGCGATTATTGAAGAACTTGCCAAAGTTTTCTTCACGTCATTGACGATCCTCTCGTGAATTTCAGTCCAGATGAAATCAGTGTCATGAGCCAGCAAGACACGTAGAGGGGACGTGATGGCAGAGAATTTACTAATGAACCTTCGGGAAGTAACTTGCAAACTGGAGGAACGCGTAAAGCTTTTTCTTGCTTTGCGAAGGTTCAACTTTATCGATTGATGCAACTCGTGAGGAATCTGGAACTCTCCCTTCTTTCGTGATGACGTAGCCGAGAAAAGTTACTCTGGAAGAGACGAACTGGCATTTCTTGTTGTTCATACGGAGCCCGTTTGTTA